GTTCCAGTTGGTGCCCGTTGCCCCTTGTCCTGTCCCTGGGCACCACTGACAGAGTCTGGCCCCAGCCTCTTGCCCCCTCAGGGGCCCTCTAGATATTGCTCAGCATTGATCAGATCCCCTCTGAGTCTTCTCCACCTCACCAGCCCCAGGGCTCTCAGCCTGTCCTGGCCCAGAGATGCTCCAGCCCTCAGCATCTCCACAGCCTCCACTGGACTCTCTCCAGCAGCTCCTTGTCCCTCTTGTCCTGGGGAGCCCAGAACTGGACCCAGTTCTCCAGAGGTGGCCTCACTAGGGCAAACTAGAGGGCAAGGAGAACCTCCCTGGACCTGCTGGCCACATTCTTCTGCATGTACCCAAATTACAGTGATTAGTTCCATAATAACTACACAACACATTTTACTCAGGTTTTAATATACTTAACAGTGAAGTCCAGTCTAACAGTTAGAATTTGTCCAAAATACTCCAAAATCTGGGTAAACCCTTGAAGTTTTGGGCCTCCACCACATTTTCCCAGCAAAGACAGAGGGATGGGATTAAAAATCAAGTTCTCTTTTCAAGGCAGCTTTAAGTGAAACACTGAAACTTGTAATGCCTACTCCTTGCATGTTATCTTATGTATTTTCTCACTGCCTTTTCAGCTTTCAACACACTGTAAGGCAGATTTGGAAAAAAAAAAACCCAACCCTTCTGGCTGAAACCAGACTGTGCTGCAAGTATCAGAGGGGGAGCACACCAGCAGCTCAGCCTTTCTAAGTACCAACAGCCTTTTTCCACTGCACCTTCAGCTCTCCAAAGTTGAAAAGTCTGTTGGTCAAGAGCAGAAACTCAAGCTTCTAAATCTTATTTTGAGGTGTGGCACAAGTTCAGTGGAAAAAAACCCCAACTGACTGACAGTTTTGGGTTTAAATCTCTTTAAACAGCTGACACATTTCAAACAGCCTCTAAGATGAGGTGACAGAGAACTTCAGGAAAGGTCTAAAACCACCTGACCTCCAACTGCATGTTTTTGGGGTTACCTGAGACGACGACAGATGATCCTGGGTCAATGATTCCACTGTTTGGCCTCACGCAGTACCGGCGAGGAGCTGTGGTCTTCACTTTGAAACATACTTTTCTATCTGATGGATTTCGTAGTTTAAGATTTGTAGTCACTACATCTGTGAAGGGACCTGGAAAAAAAAGGGTTTTTTTTTAAGTATGCACCTATCTCTGGAAAATAAATGGGTTTATACAGCATAAATTGGTCTTAAAATATCATTTGATGGCTAGAAAGTTGTGAAAGCAGGTGGAAATCATGTATCTGTTAAGTTCATATAGACATGGGATCATTTTATCACATCATTCTAAACATTGTAAGCACCTAGAACTCAGAAGATACTCTCTGTTTACACACATGAATTTCCAACCTCCACCTTTACGTGTTCAATGCAGCGTGGGCCCTAAATTGTGTTAATATTAAAGCACCCGGACAGGAATTGCTGCTAAGAGCAGGCTGGGCAAGGTGAGAGCTCCACGTGGAGCTGCCACCAGCAGGTCCCTCAGCAGGGATCACCTCCACGTGATGCCAGCCAGCCACAGCCTGGGGAGCCAGCTGGGGAGCCAGCTGGGGCACGTGGTGTTCTGAGGTGTGCTGAGCCCCCTCAGGCTTCTGTCGACCCACAGCAAGGCTGCAGAGGCACAAGAAGGTACCTCAGAAAATGGAATTTCCTATCAATGTGACTCTGAATCTCATTCCAAACCCTTGATTCTGAGAGTGATAAACAGTCTGGAGACAGAGCAGCAAGACATAAATCAACAAAGGGCTAAAAGAGGAATTGCTGAGAAGCAGAACACCAAGGGGCAGATGATGATACACGTGAGCTCCATTCAATGAGACTCTTTTGAGAAAGCAGGAACTGGTATTACTGGTCTGAAATTTCATTTCTAATCTCTTAATCCAAGCAAATTTGACCCAGTCCCCAAGAGGAAGATTTACAAACCCACTACTTCAAAGTTTCCTGCCCCTTGACAGCCCTTGCAGGATCCAGTTGCATTGACTTACAGAGAGAGATCCAAAACTAACTCCCCATCACCCACAACACAGCTGAACTAAAATCAGGCACCACAATACTCTAAATCACCCAAATCTATTTTTTTCAAGCTGCACAGACATTTTTGGAAGGCACTCTTCTAGGAGTTTCACTAATGGTCTCCTAGGCTTTGCTCTGGCAGTGCCCAGCAGCACAGAACTCTTTGCAGGTGGCTTTTCAGGAGTGTGTGCTGCTTGGTTTTAACTGCAGCTCTGCTCCTCCAGCCTCTCCACTGCTCTTCACAAAGGGAATTCCACTCAAAGGACAAAAAGGTTCACTTCAGAGGCTCATTTTGAAAGTCACAGGCATGAAAAAAAGGCCCTATACTAGTCCAAAATAGCTTATTTCAAGATGAAGAAGTATTGAGTTTATAAACTGATGATAAATGAATTTATAAATTGATGATAGAGGTTTTTTAAACTAAAAAAGAGAGATGTTCTGAGACATGACAGATCTCCTCATGCCTGTCTTTTCCAAGGGTATAATAATGAGGAAGGATTCAATGTCTTTCCCAGTGTCTAGAGAGCCCTTCTGACAGCTTTACCTTTCACCTGCTTTCTAAAAGCTCTCAAGGGAAAAAAAAAAAAGAGATGTGTGAAGCCTCTCGAGACTCACAACCATCAGATTTAATAAACAGCTTGTATCAAACTGGTAGACAAAAGGAAAAAGTGACTGAATTCCACTCTTCCTGCAGAACCCAGATGTTGTGGCAGTTCACTGGCACACTGACAGTGCTGATCTGAGCAGGGACAGGCAGAGGCAGAGATAGGAAATCAGAAAAAAAATACCTATTATCGTTCAGAGGAGCAGCAGGCTCTGAATTAGCATGACAAATCTTCAAAGAGGAAACCACCCAAGGGCAGAAGGGGGTTTGGAGTCGCCCCATTCACACAAACACCACCTCTGCCCTTGGGGGAGTGGGGACACAAAGCTGGCACTAACAGGCCCAAGCTGCTTTGTATCTGAGCACCTTAATTCTCATGTCTACCTGTACCCCCCCCCAAAAAATACCTCAGGAGTGTTTATCTGTGGTTGTTGGCCCAGCACTTTCATTGTAAACCACTTAAAACTGTCTTTTATCTTGCATTGGTACAACTGAAGGTGACACCTCTGGATCTACAACTCTGATTTTCCAGAGGCTGTGGTAATTAAAGTCACAGAACCAGGGAATGGGAGAGGTTGAAGGGTGTCCAGCTGCTAGAAGGAAGAGTCTGCACAGCCCAAGCCCTGCCAGCAGCTCCAAACATGGAGTGTTCTCACTGCTGGCAGAGCAGACTGCAAAATCCTGCTGGTCACTTCAGTGCCATGACTTAGGAAAGACTGAGCTGGACACTAAAATCACTGAGCAGAATTAGCTCTGTTCTGGCTCAAACCAGGACAAAAGGGACCTCTGGAGATCATCTCCTCCCACCCCCTGCTCCAGCAGCTCACCCACAGCAGGGTGCCCAGGGTCACAGCCAGGTGGGTTTGGGATCTCTCCAGAGCAGGAGACTCCCCAGCCTCTCTGGGCAGCTGCTCCAGGCTCTGCACCCTCACACCAAAGAATTTTCTCCTCCTGCTCAGGTGGCACCTCCTGGGTTCCAGTTTGTGCCTGTTGCCCCTTTTCCTGTCTCTGGGCACCACTGACAAGAGTCCTCAGCCTATACTGATGTAACTATGAGGTCTAATGACAACAAATCATTCCTTTATAAACTTGTAATTTCCAAATTAAACCTCTGGGAGTCAGAGCTTCTTTGAAGGGGACGAGGAGCTCAGCAGTGTCAACTCAAGAGACCAGCCCCAGCACCCTCCTAGGATAAAAGCTGAGTGCCAGGTTGTTCTGTTTCAAACAGAGCAGTGACAACCCACACCCAGACTTCTCCTGGCTTGTGGATTTACAGAGGGCTTAGAAAGCACTGACAGACACCTCCCAAACCACACTCCAGTACCAGGGATCTCCCACACCATTCCATACTGGATTTCTGTCCTGGTGATCACTGGTGTGGCCAGCAGGAGGAAGGCAGGGATTGTCCCCCTGGACTCAGCACTGGGGAGGCTCCAAGAGGGCACTTGAGGGGCTGGAGCGTGGCCAGAGAAGGGCAACGGAGCTGGGGAAGGGTCTAGAGCCCAAGTGTGGGGAGGAGCAGCTGAGGGAGCTGGGGGTGCTGAGCCTGGAGCAAAGGAGGCTCAGGGGAGACCTTCTGGCTCTGCACAGCTCCTGACAGGAGCCTGGAGCCGGGGGGGGTCGGGCTCTGCTCCCAAGGGACAAGGGACAGGACAAGAGGAAACGGCCTCAAGTTGCCCAGGGGAGGTTTACGTTGGACATGAGGAACAATTTCTTCCCCAAAAGAGTTATGGCCCAGGCTGCCCAGGGCAGTGGTGGAGTCCCCACCCCTGGAGGGGTTTCCAAGCTGTGGAGATGTGGTGCTGAAGGACATGGGTCAGTGGGGACCTGGCAGTGCTGGGGAAGGGTTGGACTCAATCTTAAAAGGTCTCTGGCAACCAAAACAATTTGATGATTCTGTGCCCTGTACAGAGATCTTTTTGATCAACACTGTCATCTTCTCTTCAACTTCAGGTCCCCTTCAGATCCTCAGCTCCAAAAGTCATCCTTCTACCACCTGAGACAAACATAAGGGGGGAAAATGATGAAGTGAAGGTGCCTTTCTAGAGTGGGGAGGAAGAGCTCAGAGAAACCTGCTCAGCCTGGGGCACTGCTGGCACAGGTCAGAGATCACCATCACTATCTCTGGGTGTTGGTAGCAGAGACAGAACATGAAGAACTCCAGAGAAGCAGACAGGTTTGGGGATCAAGAAGCTCCATCAGTAAAGGCTGTCCTAAGGTACACACAGAGACTGTCACAGAATATCATCCCCTACCTAAAATTGGAAAGAAATTACCATTTTATTAAATGACAGACAATCTTTGATAATTAGAAGGCAGGTAACTTGTGGAGTTGTACAAAAATGAGCCTGTGTGATTAAACAAATTAAAAGCATTTCCTATCAAACAGCCTAAGTGTCTAAAATGAAGAGGGCAATAGATTTAACATTGAGCTGTAGCTGTTAGAAAAACTAATACCTAAAACATCCAGGACCCTTCAGGGCACCTTCATCAAACCAAACTCAGGCAGGGCAGTTTTCTTCCAGCACACAATAAACCCAGGTTGGTCAGGGAAAAGAGAAAAAAAGTCAATGACTGCATTTGGCAGTTGGAGCCCTTAACAAATGAGAAAGGAATTCAAGTCAGCAGGCTGGAAACTAGCAGCAAAAAGCCAGCAAGAGAAATTTTGAGAAGTTACTTGGCTTTTATGATAGATCTGAGAGGAACAGGAAAAATCTCCATCAACTCATTCTGCCAGAATTACAAGTACCAAAGGAATAAAGAAATAAGTTAACACAGTCCCATGTAATCTACATGCGTATGATGTAATCAAGAATTTTTTTAATTAGGCCTATCTTTGACTAGAGTTAAAACTACCTTGACTATCACATAAGAAAAGTAATTCTAAAATATACACAAAGCAAATAATTGCTCCAAGTGGGGTTTGATAATACTACCTGAAAAAAGCAGAGATGACAGCTGGCACTGAAGGAAGTGAGAGGAAAGAATGTTATTTCCATTAATTAATTTTAAGAAATTAATATGCAGACCTGTGTGAAAACATCCTGAAGAGAATCCAGAATTCCTTCCTCACTCAACACCAAACCCCTGAACGTTCAAACACCTTCTGCTGGTAGAAAAACCCTGACTCTGAACAAATCACCTACACTAAAGTGATTCAGTCTCTGAAGTGGAACAGCTTCAGTTTTGTGGATTAATCCTCCCTGGTTATAGGTCTGAATGATCAGGAACCATCATTAGAGTGATGATACAGAATCCAAGCTGATCCTGAACACCTCCAGGGATGGAGCACCCACAGCTCCCCTGGGAAACATGTGCCAGGGTCTCACCACCCACATCACAAACCCATTTTTTCCTGTATTCCTCCTCTGTCCTTGCTTCCACCCTCTGTGGGCTTCATCTCCCTTCCCTGCCACCCCAACAGAGGGCAGGCAGGAATTCAGCACAGTGACATTTCCAACAAGACAAAATAAACCTTTTTTTCCTTTCCTTACGT